TTTATTTATTTAAGGGAGATGTCCCAACGTCTGTCCGGCATTGCACGACCCGATCTGCGCATCCGACGGGAATACGTATTCCAACAGCTGCGAGATGAATCGGGCGAGCTGCAGAACGGGGCAGAGGTTGAGGGTCCGGCACCGTGGGCCTTGCCGTGGTGAGAGTCTGCAATTTCGCTTTACTGTTTCGTTGCTGTGGTGTGCAGTATGCGTAGATGTTGAGTCGGGAACATGCTGACGGGATGTAAAGAGACTTTTGGCTCCCTTGTTCGGGGACTATTGCCCCAAAACAGTTGTAACATGATAACGGCTTCGTGATCGTTCTGGCACGTGAGTGATATTGATCATCTGGTGGTTCTTTACAGTTGGAATTATGAAGGATTTTTTAATTATATCTTAAGTCGTCACGTAGAATATGGGAATGACGTGGACTGGAGTTCCTTCGTCTGAGTTCAACTTGCTCGAGGGAAAGTCAAAAGAGATCCATGAAAACTTTGCGGAGGCGTGTGGTAAACTGATATCTTATTTGTCAATAGTGCGTTGGCCGTGCGATTTTAGGGAAAGGAGCTGGGCAGGATGTTTAGCTTAATTATGTTGAGCTGTTTCTTTTTCAAAACTATGAAGAGTTGAGTAGTGAAATTCTGGCACTTTCGAGTCAAGTATTGTCACCGGAAGAACACGGCTTTCGCTTTCGTCGCAAGGTCCAATCTCGTCGGTAAAATCGTTTTCCTTGAAAAATTGTTAAAAACGCGAGAAGTTGTGATGAGATTATAAGACATGATCCGAATAGATAAGGTAAATCCTTCAAGGATTTCTCATAAAAACGTATTGTTACAATCATTTGCAATCAGCCTTCATCAAAGACTGCTTGCAAGGATGAAATTTAATCTAACCCGCTTCTTGGGACTGTCTCTAACCCCCCCCCCCCTCTTCCCCTCCACCCCCCGCCCCCACCCCCCCTAAGGCCCCCAAGATCCCCGCCGTCTCTTTTCACTTGTTTGCATACGCATCAATTTGAAGCTTCCGGAGTGCAGATACGAGAATTCTTGAACGTCCTTTCACCTTGCAGATAGCAGATACAACGTGCCAAACACTCAAATTATACAGTATTTGGGGTTCACTGTTTCCGCTGTATTCATGCATACTTTTCCCCTCGAGATAATTTAACCGTGACGAAGGGCGTCTGGTCTAACCGATTCAGAGATGACAGATGACTGGGAAGGTGCTCGCGTGAGAAATGATGCTCTTGGAAAAAGTGGAAAAGGAAGGGATTGGTATCACTTACTGGCAATAAACATCTGGGATCGTGCATGCAATAGAACACAAGGTATTATTTTCTGAGCTGAGGAATTTGTGCACTTTTGAGTATCCCTCGTTCAAGAGACTCGAATCGAACTTGATTTCTCGGTCTCTCCTGCTTCTCCAAAAAAAAATATTTAAAAAGCGATGATTCATGAAATCCAGGAAGGATTTTCTCGTTGAAAATGGGGATGAAGCTTCTGCCGGAAGTCACAGAGAGAGGTTTTTCCTCTTTTTTTTTTAAATAATAGCTGCGATATTAAAAAATATGTGATGGGACTTCATTATGTACCCCTTTTGTGTCTACTTTATCTCTTTCGATTGGTCAACTACTCAAAATATGTGCCATGCACGTCAATGGCAAAAGCGTTAGTAAAACGTTTTTCCAGCTCTGACTAAATATCGTGAGGAGAATACGAAGAGACTGAAGCAGAGTCTATTGCTTCGTCTGTTCTGCAGTCACGTCTTTAAAATATTTCCTCATTCCATGCTTCTCACAGATGAAAAGTTTGCTTGAAGTGATTTGCACTTTCGCCCAAGACGCACACAGCAGCATGCCAAAAAAATTTATGTAAAAAAAAAAGAAAACTGCATGGAGAAAAATTGTCTGATTCTGCATTCGTCAACTGATCGATGCTGTAATTGCAAAATCCCTGACTTTTCTCCTGACTTCTTTTACAGGTCGGTGCGAGAAGGGTTGCACCCTTGAATACCGTCCGGTCTGCGGCTCTGACTTCCAAACGTACCCGAACATCTGCGCCTTCCAGGTGGCACAATGCAAGAACCCCAGGCTCAGACTCCGCCATCATGGCAAATGCTGATTCCTCGGCTCATCTGTCCTCTTTCTTTTCTTTCGCGGCTGACCGTAACAAAACCTTGGTAATGAAGTGCATATGTCATCGTGTTTCCGTGTTGATTCATCTCGCTTCAAGGAAAAGATTAGATAAGAGTGGCACATTGCGGGATTGCTTTCTCGTCTGACCGGTTGTCTGCAAGGACGAGACTCGATGAGACTACGCTCACTTTCTCAGCTGATTCGCAAGATCGCGCCGTCGTTATCGT